CCAACAGAGGTGGTACCGCCGAGCTTGTTGAGTTTTTGCTGAGTCTTCGTGCTGATGTCAATCAGCGATTTCGGCTGTCGTCGATGTCTTACATGGGCAGATTACTGGTTGCTGGCAAGACGCTTCAGCACAGATTTGGCAGGCAAACCATGGGAAGCAAACAATCCTATCATGGCCAGGATGTGACGCCTCTCATGGTAGCAGTGATGTCCGGGCAGTATGAGGGGGCCGCTGCGCTCCTTGCAGCGGGAGCCCGAACCGATCTTCGCAACTCACGCAATTTCACCGTCGCCGACTTTGCCGAGGAGAAGGCCTTGCCTCGCTTCTTGCAAGAGGCTTTGGAGGCTGAGCAGAGCCCGAGTTCGTCTCGAGCCGAGCTCCAGCGAATCGCCTCAGCTGCTCTGGCGAATAGCTGCTTCCAGATCTAAGGGGTATTATCAATACTATTTTGGGGTTCCTTATTATAGTTAATTATAGTACAATGGGAATACTATTTTGGGGGTTCCGAATTATGGTTAACTATAGTACAATGGGCCTCAGCTCCTTCGGCAGCCAAGAGACCACGCGGAAAGTTAAAGCGAGTGTGAAAGGCGCCATCTTGAATGCCATGACCGGCGGCAGCCAAAAGACAGCCGAATCGGTCTCAGCTCGTTTGAAAGTGGCATCTTCTGGCTTTTCCTTGCCGAAGGACCAAACGGAAGTCTCAGCCAATAGCAGGCACTCCTATAGGGGAGTTTCCGAAAATTCGGGGTACCTTATTTTGGGCTCCTTATAATAAAGATCCTGCTGTTTGGGTCCCCTATTTTCGGAAACTCCCATAGAAACCAAGAGAACTTCCAAGGGCATTTCCGGCATGAGCTCGGCATGCCCCTGCATGTGGAATTCCTATATCTGGGGGTTTCCGAAAATAGGGGACTCTAATATACTACTAAGAGTAGGATCCTTATAAAAGGACCGCAAATTCTTCGGAATCCCCCATCTCAGCTACAATATATTCCGTACTTAACGACTCTATGTCTTGAGACGTTCATTTTTTTGGACTTGCTCCTAGATTCGCCAATCGTCCCGCACGTGCCTTTTGCACAGTTTTGGGGGCTTGAATCCCGGAGGAATGCCAGTTTTTCAACTGCAGGTACCCCAGCCCGACGACTTCTCTGCGCCCTCTCACCTATATAGGCAGTTGAAAGCCATGCAGCTAGTCAACTTCTCATTGGGGTAGCTGAATCTGATCCGGTGGAAAACCGTGGTAACAGATGCAGCGTGCAGAGCAGATGGAAGGATCTGCCAAACAGACCAGATTTCTTTTCATGGCCAGGCAGAAAGCGAGCACTTGAGCAGCAGTACGGCCTGGGCGCTTCAGGGGGGATCTCATGGCCACAGAGTGGGCCAGGGTGCATGTGAAAGCGGTATTTGCTTGTAGTACCTTGCTCCGATGAAGTCGGACAACGAATAGACCGAATAGACCCTAAACCCTAAACCCTTTGACCAAGGCCCAAGTTGATGCCACAGGTGGCCGCCAGTAAGGCAATCGCCATCCTGCAGCAGCGAGGGCCTCGGATGAGGGTTACTTTTACTTGGAGGTCCAGGGGTAGTTGTAAGTGGGGTTATAAGGGGTTTAAGGTTCCTTTAAGGGTTCTATAGGGTTTAGGGTTTAAGGCATTATACAGGGGTTGAATTATGGGTTAGGGTAGCTAAAGGTGGGTTATAAGTTCCCCAACATGGGTTAAAGGTATAATTACTCTACTTATAACCCCACTTATAACTACCCCTGAACCTCCAAGTAAGGGTTCAGCGACGTTTGCTGTTTTGGTGGAAGCAGAAAGGAAGGGACCCTCACTCAGAACCTAATTTGTCAGCTCCTCCTATTGCAGACCCCTAGATAAGGCAATACGAGAAGTCCCCGTTCTCAGGATCAAGCTCTGTTCCCTGACTCTTTAGGGAGGCGGCATCGAAGGAGGGTTTAGCACCCTTCTCAAATCAGCTCTGCACGACCGATTTCGGCATTAATTGAGAAGACTCCCCCCGATGTTTGTTGTGGCTGCATGCTGGCCTGAACCACCCCAGACCCCCAGAGATGCGAAGCCGATAATGTAGGGGCCTTAGTAAGGGATACTATAAAAGTATTTATGATAAGGAACACCCAAAATCCCACTTTGATTATTACGGCCCCTACATTATGAACGGAAGTTTCTTCATCTAGTGGACGTCTTAGAACTGCAATTGCTCACCCTGAAGTCAGCCCCTCGTGTCCTGTCTTGGAGGATCATGAGTAACATAGGGGCCTTACTAATTATCAATAAGGTTTTGGGGGTTCCTTACTATAGTTAATTATAGTACAGTGGGCCCCAAAGCCCTAGTCTAATTATTAAGGGCCCGATAGTACCACATTTTGGGGGTCACGCACATTTCCAAGTCTCGTTATCTTGTGTATAAACCTAAACCTAACTCCCGCGCATCCTTTTCGTACAAAGCCTTACGCTTCGTCTACGATACTCCAAGGATGGAGGGTGACGGGTATTGCTCCATTGAGGCAGACTCTGCCGCGGCCCCAAGATTCCTCGTACACAGCCCAATACTCTCATAGGAGGCCAAAAGGGGTTTTAGTCTATAGGGGTTTAGTAGGGATTAGGGTTCCCATAATGGGGTTCATATTAAGGAATCCCTACCCCAAGAATCTTGAACCCCCCTTTTGGCGTTCCATCATACTCGTTTGTCATAGGTGGGTAAAATGTTTGTAGGTACTCGAGCCCAATGGAAATTTGTATGTTTGATACCATGTATCCTAGCCACCGACCAGACTCCTCACCTTCGAATCTGTCTGTACATCATAACAGGCGGCCTTGCAAAATGAAGGGATATCGTTCATCTGAGGGCTATCAGGGTTCCCTACATAAGTGCAGGATATGTCTTGATTACGGGGTCTGGGGTATTGGGCTCTAGACCTTGACAAAAAACATTCCTGAAGCCAGACATGCCTTCATCAGTGTATTCAGTGGAAGACTTGTGGGAGTTTCCGAAAATTAGGGGTACCTTATTTTGGGGCCCTTATAATAAGGATCCTACTATATATTAGGGTCCCCTATTTTCGGAAACTCTCTTGTAGCTCCATACTGAGCTGTGACCCAGCAGCTTTTGGCTGGAGCCCTTCAAGCACAAGGCTCACTTTCGGGACCCGAAACCCTGTTCGTCACATTTTCGGGATTATTCGAGCTTTCTCGCATGCTTCGACGACTGCACCGATTCTGAATGAGGCTCGGAAGAGCCCACCTGGATGCCACCCAAAGGATGTTATTCTGGGGTTCAGGCATTCATACGTACATGAGGGCACCAAGAGAACAACACTAAACCCTAAGATGCTTAATCCCAACACCCTAAAGTCCTTAACTGCTCAACCCCCAAAAGCCTAAACTCTCAACCCCTATATCATCCCGAAGACCCCAAAACCAAAACCAACATAAAAAAAACTTACGGCCAACAAAACATGATCTCAGGTCTACGGAGCAGCAGTTGCCATGCCGCAGATTGCCAGAAGCGGGGGACCCGAGTGGCTTATAGATTCCAAATAGTTCAACCGTTTTGGGAATGACGGGGCTTGGGGACTTCAAAACGATAGGGGTTAAGGGTTAGAGGCTTTCGGGCTTTGGCGGTTCTGAGATTCGTGAAGCGATTGGGAGTAGGATGCGGGTCATGATGACACTGATGATGAAGGTTGCTGTTGTGCAGAGCAGGATAAAGCTGGGTTCCGCTTACTTATACAATTGGTGGGTTTCCCTAAACCCTAAACCTTAAACCCTAAACCTTGACCTTAACTGCAAGGCGGAAAAAGGCGTTTAAAAGAGAAACCTAAACCTTAAACCCCAAACCCTAAACCGGTCATATCATGTGGTTTGTAACCGACTGCTTGGATTGCTCAGGATGGCTCGCAGGCAGGCCCCGAGCTGAACTGCATCGAAGCAGAAAGTTAATGGGTAGTACTCTAAATTCGGGCCCCTTTTTAGGATCCTTTTTACAAGGGTCTTGGACTATACTTGGGGTCTACAAGGGAGCACTACCCTCATCTTACCAAGGGGTTCCAGCCAAAAACCTACGAGGAGCTCAATAGTGAGAGAACGAGGAGCCACAGAAACCCATTAGGGTTTAGGGTTTTGGGGAAAATGCGCCGCCCAACAGTTTTATGATTCTAACCTAAGACGAAACTCTAATCGCTATCTTTCATTGATTACAGACGCCTTTGACTCGAAACCCTGAGAGACACAAAGCCCTTGAATCCCATCGTGCGAGCCCTTTTTTGGCTACATCGAAAAGAGGCCCTTAATTAGGGTTCAGGGTTTTGGGGCTCAAATCGAAAGGGGTAGTTCTCTAAATTTGGGTCCCTTTGAGGGTCCTGTTATGTGGGTGCCGTACTATAGTTGGGACCCAAAGGGGGACCCTAATTCAGAGAACTACCTAAGGACGATCCTAACCGACATCAGGTGCGGGCTGGCCGGCTACTCTCACAACCTTGGTCATCCGGATTTACTTTTTCACCCTGCCGCGGTCTCGGGACCTCAGGGAAGTTGGTGGTCATATGTGCTGGAGCTTCTAGCGGATTCTGTTGAGTGTATATCTTGGTTTCTGTTTTGTTCTGGTGATGCGCTCAAGACTCCAAGTCCGACTCCACCAGTAAGGAAAACCCTACGTCAGATTGAGGCGGGTGAGGCAGGCATGGTCGCAGCAATAGTAGCACACCATAGCAAAAATCTAACTGACAATAATGCTTCCAGTGTCGAGGGCGCGTACTTCGCCGCATTATTCATGAGCACAGGGAGATTTGCATAGAGTACGGGTCCTGGTGTCCTGGCTTAGGTCATCTGGGGAAATTCGTGCAGGGTTCATCGGCTTGGTCCTACGAAGCAGACTTGGGTAGGCTGTGGGGTTGACGATTGAGGGTTTAGGGATGTTCTGTTGCCTCTGCAGTTTTGTTCCAGCATCAGTGAGCTGCGAAGCTGTGCTACTTGGCCATGGCACCCATGGAAGTGGACAGCCTGCTGCCAGTGACGGTTCTGAGCGGTTTCCTAGGGGCTGGCAAGACCAGCTTGTTGACGCATGTCCTGCACAATCAAGAAGGCCCCACTGAGAAATGCCATGCTACCACCAGTCTAAGCCGGATCCAAACCATAGTCATTGATTTCCTAAACCCCCCAAAGTAGGTAAGATAATAGCCCAAAACCTATGAAAAGGCCATTATTCTGCACACTGTTGGGGTTCATGTAATGCTGATTAACTCACATGGACACCCAAACAAGCTAGAAGGCCTGCGGGTGGCGGTTATCGTGAACGACATGGCCGAGGTCAACATAGATGCCATGCTGGTCAAATCCGAGCAAGTGCTCAATGTGCAAGACAAGATGGTCGAGATGCAAAATGGCTGCATATGTTGCACTTTGCGTGACGACCTCATCGAGCATGTCACCAGCTCTGCACTGCTGGTAAGTATGCCTTTTCTATGTTGTCAGTCTCTCTTGCTACCGGGCACTGCTGTTTTATGCTGTTGACTTTGGTGTGCTAGTATCGCCAGGTCACCAAGATAGCAGAAGAGAAAAAGTACGACTACCTGCTGATCGAAAGCACTGGCATTTCCGAGCCGATGCCAGTGGCAGCCACCTTCGTGACTGACATTGAAGGCAAGTGGAAACCGGTTGAATCTGAACACGTGCAAAGCCCCAAGGTTTGAATCCAGCACACCAAATCTGAAATCGTCAGCACTTTTCAGTATTACTGCTTTGGAACTTGATCAGAGCGTTCGCCGGTGTGCTGTGCGCACGAACGCCTCAAAGCCTCCACTGTTTGTCAGCGTTTTCTATACGGGATCCTCGGTCAGTTGTGGCTGTCGGACCCTAAGGCATTCGTGGTGCTGACAAATGTCGGTTGTCAGAGGGATAAGAGCGTGTTGGGGCGAACATCCTCCTTGCATTTGCATGTTGATCCGTCGCATGTTGTCACAAGTGATGCACATCAACTGTCACAACGATCGGAGGTGTATGGCTATTTTGGACTGCGTGCCCCTATGCCCTTTTCTCCCTTTCCTCGCATTCTCATGCCTCGTGTCCTCGTGTCTCGCGTCTCTCTATTGCATCACTTTTTCTTGCCGCATCTTCACATGGTCTGCCCATGCGTCTCGTGCCCTCGTGTCGTTTCTCGTCGCGTGTTGCCGCTGATTTTGTCCTCATGCTACATGTCCTTGCTTCGCGTGGCCATGTGCTATGTTCCAGCATCGTGTCTTTCAGTCGCTTTGCTGGTCTCGCATCCCGTCTTGTGTGCCCGTGCCAATATGCTCATCATGCGGTGTGTCTTTTGCTGGGCGTCCTCGTGCCTTGTCGTGTCGTGTGTTCTTTTGCGGTCTTTGTGTCGTCCTCGAGTCATCTCTTCACGACTTCTGGGATTTTTGGTACACGGTAGCCACGCCGCTGCATCCGGCAGCAACGAGCTGAAAAACCTATTGAATCATCATAAGACGTTGTTGAGTTCGCTCCAAACGCAAGACCCTCGAAACCCTTGTTCAATTCAGCATACCTCATTGCAAAGCCGTGGTAAACGCCTTACAAAAGCCCGTAGAGAACCCTTGCAAAGCCTGAACCCTGAACACCCTTAAAGACCCCAAGCCCCAAACCCTAAATCCAAAACCCTAAGCCCCAAAAGCCCTAAAACCTAAGCCACAAAGCCTAAACCCTGAGCCCCAAACCCGAAGACCGTTGCGAGGCAAGGCCATGCTTGGAAGAGTCGCACGACTTGACACCCTGGTAACACGAGCTGAATTGGGAGTTTCCGAAGATTTCGGGTACCTTATTTTGGGGTCCTTGAAATAAGGATCCTAGTAGGGTACCATATTAGGGTCCCCTATTTTCGGCAACTCCATTTGATCTTCAACTTTATTGGGCTTTGGGTGGCCTTAACCGGGTTTAAGGTTTAGGCTTTGGGTTAGGGCTTTCGGAGGGGTTGATGGAGAGTTTGGGGATGGGCCTACTCATCCTATGGAGTTCCAACAGTTGCAGTTTTGGGTGCGAGCGCAGTAGAGATTCTATTTGGACATCGGAGTGTTTGGGGGTTGGATATCATCTAATGTCGAAGTTTGAGCTATCACCCACAGTGCTCCTCAGGGTTCCTTTCTTATGAGTTTACCTTCATATACCCCAGATTCCTGGTTTTTCATAAGGCGTCTACGTTATAATAGTTAACCTCTTCTGGACCTCGCAACTCCCCAGGTAACGGTTGTAGATGGCAAGACTTTCTGGGAGACGTACAGGACTCTTCCAAGCTGCATAAACGGGCTTAGAGGGGCTGCACGGTTTTATAGCGTTATGTTGAGCCTGATAAGCAAGAGCTTCTGCGAGATTTGAAGCGTTCTACGACTTTGGGGATATACATGTATGTGATATGCATGTATGTATGTATTCATGCATAGGTGCACACACACACACACACACGTGCACTCAAGTGTGTGAGGTTTAGGGCTTAGGATTCCAAGGTTCAACCTTACTTAGTAACTTAGTGCTATCTTGGGGATGAAACGAAGGGTCGTCCTTCTCCGCTGAGGTCTTTCGGTTACTCTTCCACTTGTAGGACCTTTGAAAAGACTCCCCTGAGAGGACTACCGAGCTGCTGGTGGATCGGAAAGAGTTAGGCGCAGAGACTGGCGACCAGCGGAACATCGCTTCTCTTCTTGCAGATCAAATTGAGTGCGCGAATGTCATACTTCTGAACAAAGTGGATTTGCTGAAGGAGGACGAGATTGACACACTCGAGGCTGTGCTCCGAAAGATGAACCAGACGGCAGAAATTGTGAGATCCAGCTGGGGCAAGGTTGACCTCACGAGAGTTCTGAACACTCGCAAGTTCGACTTTGGTGAGCTTCAGAAGATGCCCGGTTGGATACAGGAGCTGCGTGGAAGCCATGTGCCGGAGACCGAGGAATACAACATCTCCAGTTTGGTTTTCCGTTCCTTAAAGCCCTTCCATCCACATCGCCTGGACAAGGTGTTGAGAGAGGGCTTTGATGACTTGCTGCGCTCGAAGGGCTTGCTCTGGGTCGCAGGAAGTAATGCCGCCATGGTTTGGGCTCAGGCTGGGGGTGCAGTAGACCTTCAATCTGGCAACTGGCTGCATGGAAACGTGGATCCCAGTGACTGGCCTGCACATCTCGAGGAGTACAAGGCCAACCGCTACGGAGACAAACGAGTAGAGTTGGTCTTCATTGCACAGAACCTCAACAAGGCTAGGTAGGGCTTTGGGACATTCTATATTTTCCCTTATTGGGCTTAAGAGGATCTTATTTGCTAATATTTTTCAAAAGCCTTAAAAGCCCCACCTCAACAAGGCGGACCTCACAAAGCGCCTGGAAGATGCCCTGGTTACGGAGGAAGAGTATCAGCTAGGGGAAGAAGGTTGGGCGCAGTTCATTGGTGAATCTTAGACTTCCCAGCGACGTCGGGTTTGAAGTGTTTATGTACAGCTGATTGCAGCTTGAGAGCTGCAACTTAAACGACTTTGTCGAGGCCACAAGTGCTGGGTCGTCATGTACTTGAGGGGTGATTTCGAGAACTTGCCAAGCCTTGGCATGGTGTCAGCCATGTGCTGAAGCCATTGCACCAGATGTTGACAATGGGCCGTACAGTTGACAATTCAGATCTGCTTCGCAGCGGTGAGACAAGATGCCTCTGTTTCTGGGTTCTGCTAGGGGTTTAAGTCAAGTTATCATCGCTGCGGCCTTTAGAAACTGACAGTCTTCCCTGAATGTGCTGACTTGACAGCAAGTCCCATTTAGTAAGAACTCTCCTAAGATCTTGATGAAGCCCCGATGCAACCCCGTCACAGTTCATCCCTTTCAAAGCAAAATAGGTGTACCCTAGTTTGCTCAGTGTCGGCCTCAACGTTGACAGTAACATGTAGAAAAGCTCATCGGAGAGTGGATGTTGGTCTCGCATTGGCTGAAGTCCGGCACTACTTAGCTACTTAACTTTGGTTTGGAGGTGAGGGCGTGCCATGGTTATATGTTGTATGTGTACATGTTACATGGGTAGTATGTCACGTGTTCTTGTTCATGTTTTGCCTTGGTGTCTGCTGCTTTATGCATTTATCAATGTGTTCAGTATGTGCACCCTGCGCCTGTTCCGCAACTGTTTTGGGTGGCATGCAGAAACTAAGTAGGGTCTTTAGGGCCTTTCAGGTTTCTTTGTATTGAGGGTTTGAAGGGTATTAGCCTCTGCAGAGAAAGAGCAAGAGTGCTGAATCGATTCTTGAAGCCACGCCGAGGCTAAATTTCTTGGTCCAGGGCTTTTTGCTCTCCATGATTGGCGAGGACTCCGACGGGGGGAGGGGTTGCGTTTGGAGCCTTCCGAGCCCCTAACTCCTGTTAGGAACCGCAAGAATAGGTTCATATATACATATATACACACACACATATGTGTATGTCTCTCTCTCTCTCTCTCTCTCTCTCTGTGTATGTATATATATATATATACCTATATATGTATATGTATATCCCTCCTACCAGAGTAAAGCAGGGGCCGTTGGCTATGTTTGTCGTAATCCACAAACTGTATGTTTCTTGCTAAAAAGCAAGTTCGATGGTGTGGCCATGCTTCGCGCCCGAGCCGTACACGAAACGTTCTGCCACCTACCGCTGTGGTGAGGTGTCTCTGGTGCACACGAATTCGGCCAACCACCCGGCTGAATTCCGCAAGTCTCTGAGGGAAGGCAATGTTGGTCCTCGTGGTTGATGGTCATTCTGTTCGCGGTGGTCCCGATGGTCGCGGTCGTCTCGGTCGTCATGTTGGTTGCGGTCGTGGTGGTTCCTCAGGGTCACCATGGTGCTCTATTACTGTTGAGGGGATACTCTGGCATCACGTTTATGGTGTAAGAGGGTTTCCGTCGTTGGGGGGCCAATTTGGCTCTCTGGGCCTCCACACTGAAACCCTACTACAGGGGCTTAAATCATTTCCTTACTATATTTGTAGTAGAATGGGCCCAAAAACCTTATTAAGATTATTAAGGCCCCTATATTGAACCCCCCACAATACCCCTTCTAGTAACCCTTATAGGACCCTTTTAAGAATCCTTTAAAGGGAACCCCATTCTAATTATTAAGGCACCTTCAGTAAACCCAGACGACTCTCACTTTACGTTTGGTTAGTAGGGAATGGAGGAATGGGGTAAATTTATATACTTGCCATGACTACCCTTCTTCCATTCCCTACTAACCAAAGGTAAGTTTTTGGGTCTACGCAGGGGATTAGAGTCTATATAGGGCCCCGGCGGTTAGTCTTTAGGAGGTCTGAGGGGTTTTAAAGCTTAGGGGTTTTAGGGAATTTGCTCGGGTTATAATAGGAATGTAATAGGGCCTTAATATAATCCTTACAGTCACTATTACAGGGTGGGGGCAGCTTCTAACCCAAACCCTAAGCCCCAAACCTGCAGGAGCAGCTCATCATGTACCCTTTCGCAGGGTCCCGGGCCTCGGCTGTGGGAAAGGACATCACAGGTTGTCAGGATTTCAACCGTTTTGGGGGGTTTAGGATTTAGGTTTAGGGTTTGGGGTATGAGGTTCGGGTTTGGGGTTCATGGTTTTGGGGTTTAGGGTTCAGGTTTGGGGTTTGAGGTTTAGGTTCAGAAGGGGAACCATGCGGGTTCTGTAGGTTTTTTTGGGTTTAGGAAACCATGGAGGGCTTGGGTGAAGTGAGAAGTGCATATGGTATAAGATAGGGGCCGAAATACTTACTTCTACTATTTTGAGGGCTCCTTATTATAATTCTGGGATAGTGGGCCCCAAAGCTCTATTCTAATTATTAAGGCCCATATATCACGACCTAGCTGCTAGCTTTCTTGCGGGTACTTCTGAAGCGCAAGCTGTGCATTGGCACGACATCTTCCGAAGCGCTGACCTCAACTTTTGATCTTAGGGGTACTTGGAAATAGTTTTAAATTTTTGGTTGTCATACACCCTAAGAAACAGCTAATTAAGATTATAATTGTTGCTGGGGTTCTAAGTTAAGTATAGTAGTGACCGTCAACCCTGAAACCCTAAAGCCCTCGTCTCACAGAGCCCAAAAGCTGCAAAACTCCCTAGTAGTAAGAGTAGGTAACCTTTGACCTTTTTTGGGTAGTACTGTCCTTATATTTGTATATATAGACCCTATATATGGTCAGGCGTCTGGCGTTCCCAGCCCCCCCCCCCCCCAATGGTATGGTCTGATAGGGGTGGGGGGGGGGGGGGGCTGGCGTGCGCGGAAAGGGGTTGGGCCATTGGAGCTGCCACTGGATGGTGGGGTGGTGCTGGCGGCCAAGGCTCACGCGCAAGCCCTTCGCAAGCCAGCCGTAAACCCGATAACGCAGCGCGTGCCCCTGTTTTGAGCAAGCTTAACTTGTACTTAAAACGCTACACCCAACCTAAACCCCACCTAACTGCAGGCTCTAAGCTTAAAGCAGAGCATACACCGCAAATCCTCCTTAAGCCCTTGTCGACTCGAAGCCTTATACCTTGTAGCCGTAAACCCAAAACTCAAAAGCTTAAGCTAAACTCTAAACCCCAAAACCCCACAACCACCCCACAGGGGGAAGAGGAACCCCACACCCCACACCACAGGGGAGGGGGGGCCCCACCCTATATCCGGACCATTGACCTTTGGGGGGGGAGGGGGGGGGGGGCTGCGGAGCGCGTGACCATATATAACATGCGTTTCCCCATGATACCCGACAAGTATCCAAGGGTAAAAGGAGGGACCCTTAATAAGGACCCCTAGGTATATGCCCTTAATATAGCCATTATATACCCATTATATCGCCCAATATAGGGTAGGGGTCCCCATTAAGGGTCCCCGCTATTCCCCTTTGATAGGATTCTGAAGCCCCCGTCGGAAAAAGGCAGATGCATCTCTGCGACTTCGGAGCTTCTGTCAAGGCAACAAAAACTGGACTGTGGGGTTTAGGGTTTATGGGTTTAGGGATTAGGGTTTAGGGTTTGCCGTTATTGGATTAGAATTTGGCTTTTTGGTGCGTAAAGTTTAAGACGTCGGACCTGGGGATAACTTCAGCGTGTTAGGGTTGCGGTGCAACCAGTGGCGTTTCGGCTACATCGTTGATGGTAAGGCCAGATTTCCGCACACGGAAACATTACTGGGCGTATGGTAGTCGGAACAGGTTGCCAATAGCTTTCCTTTATAGTCCCAGATACAATTATCACCCTAGACTAAACCTTAAACCCTAAGCTCTTACTACTGAGGCACGTAAACTCAGAAACCCCAGGATCCCCAAACCACTTCGAGCAGCGTTTCGGAGTCGTTGACGGCCATTCGTCACGGCAATGCTACTGCTATGGTTCAGGCTCTTCCTCACATTCACAACCATCGTAGCGGTGGTTACCGTCATTATGCGTGTGCCTCATGTCTGCTGTCTTCAAAGATGCATATCCGTTTGTCTCGTGGTTTTTCGATCCGCAGATCGACGTGTCTCGTGTCCTCGTGTCATGTATTCATCTCGCATCTCACTGATCTCTCTGACCATAGCCATCATCAGCAGCATCACTGCCACCCGCCACTATATGACTATATCACTACCGAGCTCTTATTTCGTATCTGGCGGCATTTCGAATCAGAGGGAGTCATACCATGTGATTGGACTGTGAAGAGGCATGCCCCGATGCGTCCAATTGCGTGGGCCCCTCCGGCGGGCTTCTCAGTTTTTTGGGGAGTTTTCGTGCCCGAGTACTTGCCGCGCTTTGCCCGCCCTGACTACAGCTTCGTCGCTTGGCTTCCCTCAGTTCGTTGCAAGGAGACCTGAGTGAATTGAGGATGCTCCATCACTCCATGACTAAGACATACTCTAGGGGCCCCAAAAATCACCTGCACTATTTTGGGGGTTCCTCAGCATAAGTATAGTATAATGGGCCCCAAAACCTGTGTAAAAACTTTGATGGCCCCTAGAATATCTGCAGAACCTGGGTTTTTGGCGGAACCTGAATTCAGGCATGCGGTTATTATAGTACCCTTTTAGATCCCTTACAGTAACTGTTGAAGGTGTTCACCCTGGGTGGCCATACCCTGCAGCGAAGCTCACGCAGAATGTTTTCTATGGCTGGGCGCAGAGGCGACTCACGATCTCAACGAAGCAACAAGAGAACCGACAAACCAACAAACGACCTGTACAGCTTTACAAGTTGTTGGTTACAGTACACATGGCTCAAGAGGCTTTCCTACGCAGCCTTCCCCTAAGCCAAAGGATACAGGAAACACACATGTACAAGCCTACCTGAAGGAAACTATACAAGTGCCGGCAATCCCTTCAAGCAGACTACACACCTGTCTAACCTGATACCTGGGCATGCAGTGAGAAGCATTTCAACACTCCTCCTTGCTAGAGCCGACAGGCAACTAGCACACGCTGCACTATTTACAGCATGCCCGTTCCTGGGACCTCTAG